TGTTATCTAAAGTCAAATTTACAATATTTTAATTAATCATAGCGTTTTTAATTATGTTTGCTTGTTTTGCGGTGAGGAATGTTTGTATACAAAGGTATAACAACAGCCGTGACAAGGATGTAATTGTTGGTTTTTAGTACATGCAATTGAAGGAGTTATAGGAAATGTGTGGTGTCTTTAACGCATGCTGGTAATTGTCTTTAACGTATGCTGGTAATTGTTTAGCAACTGGCTTTAAATTTATTGACTTATAAAAAAATTTGGCCTAGTGATAATCAAATTCAATAAAAGTGAATATATTTAATCATTTAATTATTTTTTTAGAGTTCTAATGTGATCAATAAAAGAGTTAGATATAGGAGAAGTAAAAACTTCAAAACTAAACATATCGCCATAAAAAGGTATTTAAATATTTTGTATTACTACATGCAGCAAATACCTTTTTTAATTAATTCTTGGATACCTTCTAAATAAATTTACATATTGTATGTGGATATTTTTGTTGACAGTATTATTCTGAGAGGTGTGAAAGTTGATATTTTAGTGGTAAGGGTGAAGAATTGCAGATTATTTTAATGTATAGAATGAGAAACCTAACAACCATATATTTTTTTATTATATTCTTTATATTAACATTCTATAATGGTTTTTGAAAGGGCCATATATTATTATATTCAACATATACTGATCGTCATGGTAACAAATGTTTTAAATTTTTTGAGCTAGAACTTGGATAAAAACTTAGTTTGGGACGTATTGAAAAATATTTTTATTCAAAAGGAATGACTTTTGTAAACTAAATTAAAAACTCAAAAAAGCCAAGAAATGTTTAGTCAGGAGCAATAATACCTTACATAATTGTAGAGTATTATTATATCATATTTAATACAACTTTGCATATATAAGATATTGCCTTAATCTAAATATTTTTCTAAATTTTTAAAATTTCAAATTTAGTTTAAAAAGGTCGCATTTACTTTTTTGCAGACTTCTGAGTCTGCAAAAAAATATATGAATCCTTTTTAATCTAAATAATCCTGAATCCTGGCTGTTTGTCAATGTGTGGATATACATTACCACAACCCAAGACATACATTACCACAACCCAAGAACGGCTTGTGGTAGCAAAAGAATTATTTTTTTACTAATAATAAATTGAAAAGTAAACTGTTCAACCCACCTTTTTTAAGTAATTTTCTTATTTAATTTTTTTACTAATAATAAGTTGAAAATTAAACTGTTCAACCCACCTTTTTTTAAGTAGTTTTCTTATTTAATTTTATCGTTAATTTATGTAAATTTCTATGTAATATTATGTAAATTTAATAATATCATGTAAATTTAATAATACTATGTAAATTTAATAATATTATGTAAACTTGATAATATTATGTAAATTTAATAATATTATGTAAACTTGATAATATTATGTAAATTTAAGTAAATTTCTTATTTAGTTTTATAGTCAATTTTACAAGTTTTCAATTTAAACGTTTTCCCTGATCAGGTTAATATCTTATATTTTATAAGCATGTATTTTATATTTAATAATAATATTTTATATTTTACATTTTATAAAAAAAAAATAGCTATAAAGGTCCTTGATGCAACTGTAAAAATTGGTTTAGATGCATTGATAGTTTTTGGTGTTCAATATTTCTTTTGTAAAGATGGAATATCCGGATAAAAATTCAAATCAATGCATTATCATGGCACAATAGGTATGTTTTTTCAGTATTTATTTTATTTTAACAGCCTTTTAGCATCTAAATCTAGCATAAAATATTTTTTAGCTTGTTTAGCCATTATTAATAACTACCACTTATAATAATTACTATTACGAATACTAAATCGTATTACTTCAACAAAATAGGTGAAAAAACGTTTTGACTTCATGAATTATAACTGATAGTACAAATCAAAACTGCTCTCTGACTTAAAAGTACAAATTAAAAATTTATATTTAAAGAGTAGATGCCTTTCAATAATACAAATAATAAAAATTGCGTGATCTTTTAACACTAGCAATTAAAATTTTTAGAAATTGCTATTAAAAAAAACATTTTATTTACAATTTGGTTACGTAAAATATTAATATTATTGACAAATTTTTACACAAAAATTTATTTTTAGTAGCATTTCTGGATCCTACAAAAAATTGATAAAGAGTATAATTGATTTTCTTATTAGCAATTTAAAATTGGGCTGGAGGTTTAAACAAAAAAAACAACAAAAGAACTATATAATTAATGTTTTAACAAATTTTGCTTTATATATGTTTTTGGAGAATTCTTTGGAAATAAATATTATTATGTTAATATTTATTGTCTTTTTTTTACGAATAAATGATTTTTTCTTTACCAAAAAGAATTATAAATCAATTAGTTGTTAGTTAGCGTTTTTAATGGAAACTAGTCTGGTATAGCCATTAACAGCAGATTTTAACCCTAAATTTAAAAATAAAACTTAAAATAAGATATTCCTAGGTTGCCCCAGTTACCTTTTTAATTTCAGCATTTACTTGTTTTCCAGTTCCAGTAGAATCTTTTTTGTCGTAGCGGCAACTTGTAAAGTTAGCTGATTTTCCCTGACGACCCTCTGAGCCATTATATCCACGTGGTCCTTGAATCCCTTCTCTCAAAGTAAGATTTGATATCTAAATATGACTATTTTTTGTAATTTTATTCAAAAAGTTTTAATAATAAATTTTCTACAGAAATATTTTGATTATTTTAAAAACGAAATTAAAAATGAGAACAATAAATACACAAGAGATTTGTATTTATATTAAGAGTTTTTAAGAAAATGTGTAAAGAAAAAGTAAAAATTTAATAAGGGTTGTATATAATTTATTAAGATTGTTTTTTATCAAAAAATAATAAAAACTGCTGAATTACTTTCGAATAATCTTTTAATTGACAATATTACATTAAACATAATTTAAAAATTTTTTACAGTCAAAAACGGTGTTAAATTAAAAATGCTTACAGAAGTTAAGTAGACACAGATTTTAAACTTCATATTTAACTTGATTATTATATATTAATTTATTTTACACATAGCCATAGGGCACAACGGCAGTAAATATTTTTTTTAGAGTTTGATCACCATGGTTGTACGTTTATGGAACCATATGCAACAATTCATACGGCTCAGACGAGCTTTAAAAATACCATTTTAAAATACAAAAGTATCTTTTCTTTAAAAAAGAAGAATCATTATATATGAAATCTTATTAAATACATTATAATACACTGTTTTATTAGTTAGAGTCAACAATGCCAACATTGCGATATAATACAAACATTAACGTTTTATTAAAAAAAAAAAAACATACTGATCTATTAGTTTGATGCAGTTGATTTTTCAACCAATAAACATCATCGTTTATGGATGAAATATTAATAGATACCTAATTTAGAAAAATAAAAATCAAAATTAACATCACTAATAACGAAAAGTCATTAGCAGAGATAAAAATCTTAAAAACTCACTTTATTCAATGAAACATCAATAAAATTTATTCGACTTTCAAAAACTGTTTTTGTATCGATTTCTAATTTTTCTGTAAAATTTTTAATTTCATCACGTGTTAAGTTTGCTATTTCATCATTTTTCTTTATTAGCAACTGCAACTAAAAACATTTTATTACTATTTCTAATAACTAAATATTGAAATATAAATATAAATAAGAAATACATAAACAAAAATAATATATGAGAGATTAATGTATATATATATATATAAATATATATATATAAATATATATATAAATAAATATATATATATATATATATATATATATAATAATAATAATAATAATAATAATAATAATAATAATAATAATAATAATAATAATAATAATATATAGTTGATTTGAATACCTAAAAGACCAATATATGTTTTATACAGGTATATATAACAATTGAATATTTATATGAGATCTAGATTTTTTTACTGTATTTACTTAAAGCCAAGGGAAATATTACGGGTAAAAAAAAAATTATCTTTGACCTCCGTCAACTCTATAACTCAAAAACACTTACACAAAAATGATTGCTGCACAGAGAAATAAGTCACGGTCGTTTGTAAGTGGAAAGTTATTATACGCATGCGCAGTGGAATTACATTTCTTGAAAGTTTTTTAAAATGGCCACGGTAACAGGATTATAGAAACTAATCATTGCCAACGAGTAATTTGTTTAATTTTAGATAATTAAATAGGTTTTTAACTAGTTTTTTCATGAAATTATTTTGAAAATAGCTTGCAGCTGTACGAAGAAATTTTAAAAATAAAATACAAGATCTCTGAATGTGAATAATATCTACTTTCAGCTAAAGCAACTTTAGTTTTTTTGTTTACAATTTTTAAACCTTTTTTAAAATATTTTTGAGCGTAGAAATTTTTTAATTTAAATTTATTCAGCAAGATGAACCTTTTATCTATTTTGTATTTTTTGCTTATATGAGGATTCAATTTTTTTTGCAGGGTTAAAAGAAAATCTTAATCATTAAACTTGTGTAACCTGTTGCTATGGTGCTCTTTTCCGATGTGGCTATATATATATATATATATATATATATATATATATATATATATATATATATATATATATATATTATATATATATATATATATATTTTTATATATATATATATATATAAATATATATATATATATATATATATATATATATATATATATATATATATATATATATATATATATATATATATATATATATATATATATATATATATATATATATATATATATATATATTATAAATTAGTAAAAAATCTCTTAAATCTCTTAATTTGCACTGTTCTTTTAAGAACATTGAGCACTCTATTTTGTAGAATACATTTTTTAAATTAATTAAATATATATATGTATATATATATATATATATATATATATATATATATATATATATATATATATATATATATATATATATATATATATATATATATATATATATATATATATAATATA